AGGCGGGAAAATTATCTGAGCCTCGGGAGGTTGAGGCTACACTGAGCCATGATCATGTGACTGCATTCCAGCCTGGGTGACAGAGTGAAACCCCCTCTAAAAAAATCAACCCCCCCCCAACATATTCCAGTGTCTGATGTAGGGTTTAAGCTTTTAAAATTGCTTCTGTTGATTTTTTTGAAGAAATGTACATAATATCCCCCTTTTTTTTTTTTGAGATGGAGTCTCACTCTGTCACCCAGGCTGGAGTGCAATGGCACAATCTTGGCTCACTGCAACCTCTGCCTCCCAGGTTCAAGCAATTCTCCTGCCTCAGCCTCCTGAGTAGCTGGGATTAACAGGTACATGCCACCACACCCAGCTAACTTTTGTATTTTTAGTAGAGACAGGGTTTCAACATCTTGGCCAGACTGGTCTCGAACTCCTGACCTTGTGATCCACCCACCTCGGCCTGCCAAAGTGCTGGGATTACAGGCATGAACCACCACACCCAGCCCATAACATTCTTAAACAATTTATTTGTTTTCATGAATTTTGAACTGAATTATACAGCATTTATTCTTCTGTAACTTGCCGTATTCACCCAATAATAGTTTCTCTGACATTTATTTATGTTTATTTCTTTTCACTGCTGAAGAGTATTCTTTACATTTCCTTATGGTGAATAGAAGAGAACAGAAAAGAATAATGACTTTTGATGAAGAGAATTCTTAATTTAATGCAGATGAACTTATGAATCTTTTCCTTTGTCATTATAAAGTGAACAAATGTCAAAGATTTCACTGAGCTCATCAACTCATGAAGGAACCAATAGGGTATTAGGACTGGTTTCAAGCAAGAATTTGAATTATAGAGATTTACATTCTCTATTGAACAAACTTCATTTGTATTGTGATTAATAGAAATCATTTGTATTGCTGTGAGCATATTGCATTGCATTGCATATGCTATTATAGAATTGCATAGTTATCCTATAATTTAACAGCTATACCCGCAGAGTTGTAAAACTCCTTAGTCCTTAGACAGTCAATCAAAGGTGCACACTTTGACTGCCTATGAGATAATCTTCAGAGGATCTGTTAGATGACACCCTAAACCACACTGAGAGGGCTCTAAGTAATTAACCCCTCTTGCCTTTTTGTAAGTCTTAGATGCTCTTTTTCTGACAATAGCCCCTCTCATGATCTTAAATAATCTTCAAAGATTATTTTTGATCACAAAAAGACTGGTCTCATTATGTTTATATAGATGTAATAAGAACGTTAACCATACAGGCTTTTTTGAGTCTGCTTTGCAAATCTAGAGACATGCAGTATTGAGCAACTTCTAAAGCCAAAGAATAACCTCTGGTCTGAAAGTTTTCATAAACAGTCTTAAATTTGGCTTTAAACATCCGCTGTTATTTGCTATACCTCCAAATTCACTGAGGTTCTCACTGGCCAAGAAGTGATTCTCTTTTTTCTTTTCTTTTTCTTTCTTTTTTTATTTTTAAACTTTGCAGCTCTAGCTCAAAGCAAGGAAGTGGTTTTCTTTACCTCCTTTAAGATCAGGATCTTGCAAGCCAAATAAAAGGCCGGTTTTCCCGGGAAGGCTTTGTAGAGATTGGCCTACAAGCACACTTAACCCTGATTAAAAGACGTTAATTCTCAAATATGATCTGGGCTATATAATTCATTTGAGCAATATATCTGAGGTAAAAAGAAAAGAGTTTCTATTGAACATGTGCTAATACCTATGTTGCTATAAAAAGTAAGGAGACTAACAAGTTTCTGAATTCTGATGGGTGAATAAGAATCAGATATAAGTTTAAAATGCTTCATTTTAGTTTACAAAAACAGGATTTACTTAATTAGTGTTAGAGACAGCTTGACAGAAGAAAGGGGTAAGAAGAGCGAAACTCCGTCTCAAAAAAAAAAGAAAATGATAGGATAGCTATGCAATTCCATAATAGCGTATGCAGTGCAATGCAATATGCTAATAGCCATGCAAATGATTCCTATTAATCACAATACAAACGAAGTTTGTTCAGTAGAGAATATAAATCTCTATAAATCCAATTCTTGCTTGAAACCAGTTCTAACACCTTATTGGTTTCTTCATGAATTGATGGGCTCAATACAAACGAAGTTTGTTCAGTAGAGAATATAAATCTCTATAAATCCAATTCTTGCTTGAAACCAGTTCTAACACCTTATTGGTTTCTTCATGAATTGATGGGCTCAGTAAAATCTATTTGTTCACAATGATAAACGAAAAGATTCGTAAGTTTATCTGCATTAAATTAAGAATTCTCTTCATCAGGCTATCCCTCCCCACCTCCCCCTCCCACTGGCCCTCCCCTTTTCCCCCCAATAGATAGCCTGGGGAGAAATGCCAAATGTGGGTAAAGGGGAGAAAGGAAGCCAAACACACTGCCATGTGTGTACCTACGCAACTGTCTTGCATGTTCTGCTCATGTACCCCAAAACCTAAAATGCAATAAAAAACTAAAAAAAAAATTCCCTTCATCAAAAGTCATTATTCTATTGTATTCTACTCTATTCTACTATTCTATTCCATTCCATTCCATTCCATTCCAATCTATTCTATTCAACATAAGGAAGCGTAAAGAATACTCTTCAGCAGTGAAAATAAGCATAAGTAAGTCTTTAAAAACCTATTGTTTTTTAGGCCGGGCGCGGTGGCTCAAGCCTGTAATCCCAGCACTTTGGGAGGCCGAGGCGGGTGGATCATGAGGTCAAGAGATTGAGACCATCTTGGTCAACATGGTGAAGCCCCGTCTCTACTAAAAATACAAAAAATTAGCTGGCCATGGTGGCGGGTGCCTGTAATCCCAGCTACGCAGGAGGCTGAGGCAGGAGAATTGCCTGAACCCAGGAGGCGGAGGTTGCGGTGAGCCGAGATCGCGCCATTGCACTGCAGCCTGGGTAACAAGAGCGAAACTCCGTCTCAAAAAAAAAACACCTATTGTTTTTTAACAACAGGTTTGACTATGGGTGACTGGCAAATTACAGAAGAGTATATACTGTATAATTTGGTTCAAAATTCATGAAAACAAATAAATTGTTTAAGAATGTTATGTACATTTCTTCAAAAATGTCAGTAACAACAATTTAAAAACTTATACCATAGAACAGACACTGGAATATGTGGGGTTATTTTGTGTTTTTGAGACTGGGTCTCACTCTGTCATCCAGGCTGGAATGCAGTGGCGTGATCACAGCTCACTATAGTTTCAATCTCCCCAGGCTCAGATGATCCTCCCACCTCAGCCCTCCCAGTAGTTGGGAACATGTCACTATGTCCAGATAATTTTTCACTTTTTGTAGAGACAGGGTTTCTACATGTTGCCCAGGCTGGTCTCCTACTCCTGGGCTCTGGCAACCTACCAGCCTCAGCCTTCCAAAGTGCTGGGTTTACAGTCATGAGCCACTGCACCCGGCCAACACTGGAATGTTAGTAGTTACCTCCAGGTCTAAGGAAATGGATGGTTTTCATTTTCTTCTTTTTGTTCATTTCTGTTTTACAAAATTTTAAACATAAACATGATTTAAAACATGTATCACTTTTGCATAAAGAAAAGAGGTAATAAACTTATAGAAGATATTTTCATTGGATGTAATAGACAAAAAATTAATGCCCCAAATGTATAACAAGCTATACATTAAGGAAAGATAATACCTCATTCATTGAGCACTTAGTATTTGTTATTCACTACAGAAAGCACTTTCCATGTATTATATCATTTACTCCTTCTAAAAACCTTCTCATGTATATACTATGTTCCTTCCAGTTCCAGATGAGGAAGTTGAGAGTCAGAGAAGTTAGGCTACTTGCCCATTGTCACTGAGTTGATAAAGGATGGAACTGGAATTGAAACCCTGCAGTCTGACTCCAGAGCCTGCTGCACTACACGACACTAACAACAACCTCCTGAAGAGATATTATTAAACTCACTGGCAACCAGGGAATTGCAAATGAAACAAAAAATGATGTTGCCGCGTTTCATCTATGAGATGGATGGACACATTAGAATGTTTGAGATGGATAAACAATGTCAAGCATTGGTGAGGGTGAGAGGTGTAGTTGGTATAACTACATGGAAAAATACTTTGCAGTATCTAATACATTGGAAATTCCTTTGATTCTGCAATCTTCAAAGTCTACTTCTATGCATTAAAAAATGTGTACATATGGAGAAATGCCCAAAGTCATTAGTCATACAATTATTTAAATAGTGAAAAATTGGAAATAAACCAATATTCAACAATAGGAAATGGGACAACTGAAATAAGCTCAGATGCTTATTAAAGAGAATGAGCTACCCCCATAATTATCAAATGAGCAGATGTCAGAAACATGAAGCCGAGTTAGAATTTTTTCTGAGTTGTACTGACATCATGCTACCACTTACAAAAATTTAAACACACACAAGAACAATCCTATGCATTGCTCATGGATGCAATTGTGGTTGGTTCAGGGAAATTTGAAATGTTCAAAGGGCACTTCAACTTTATCTGTTATTAGGCAATCCTTTAAAAAAAACGAGACAGACTAAAAATGGCAAAATATTAACAAATGTTTCTTTCATATGGGAGAAGATGAAATCTTTGTTATATAATTTTCTATAATCTCTGTTTCGATATCTCTATTTTTATCTCTGCATCTATTGATAGGTGCATATATAGATATGCATGATGCACACATATATTTTTCTTTTATGAAATGTATATATGGGTTGTGTCCCTAATCCAAATATCCAAAATCTGAAATCTTTTGAGTGCCAACTTGATGCTCTATTGGAATTTTCATTGGAGTGTTCAGATTTCAGATTTTCAGATGAGGGGGGCTGAAACAGTAAGTGTAACACAAATATTCCAAAATCTGAAATGCTTCTGGTTCCAAGTACATCTGATAAGGGAGGATCAATTTGTATCTGTTTTCTCAAATAAAAATGAGATTTATTAATTTTTATTTTTTATTTTAATTTTTATGGGTACATAGTAGGGGGGATACATTTATGGGATACATGAGATATGTTAGTACAGGCAAACAATCCACAATAATCACATCATGGAATATGGGGTATCTATCCTTTCAAGCATTTATCCCTTGATTTATAAACAATCCAATTATACTCTTTTAGTTATTTTTAAATGTATGATTAAATTGTTATTAGTTATAGTCTCCTTACTGTGCTATTAAACACTGCATCTTTCTCATACTTTGTATTCTTTGCTACCCATTAAGTGTCCCCACCTCCTCTCCTGCTCCCTCTTATCCCCCACTACCTTTCCTAACCTCTGGTAACCATCCTTCTATTCTCTACTTCCATGAGTTCAATTGCTCTGATTTTTTAGATCCCATAAATAAGTGAGAACATGTAAAGATTGTCTTTCTGTGCCTTCCTTATTTCACTTAACATAATGAACTCCATTTCCATCCATGTTGTTGCAAATGATAGAATCTCATTCTTTTCTATGGCTGAGTAGTATCCCACTGTGTACAGGTGCCATGTTTTCTTTATCCATTTATCTGTGGATGAACATTTAGGTTGATTCCAAATTTTGGCTATTGTGAACAGCGCTGCAGCAAACATGGGAGTGCAGAAATCTCTTGAATGCACTGATTTCCTTTCCTTGGGTACAGAACCAGCAGTGTGGTTGCTTGCTGGATTGCATGATAGCTCTGCTTCTAATTTCTCGAGGAACTTCCAAACTGTTCTCCATAGTGGTTGTACCAATTTACATTCCCACCAACAGTGTATGAGGGCTTCCTTTTCTCCACATCCTCACCAGCATTTGTTATTTCCTGACCTTTGGATAAAAGCCATTTTAACTGGGGGCGAGATGATATCTCATTGTAGCTTTGATTTGCATTTCTCTGATGATCAGGGTTGTCGAGCCCCTTTTCATATGCCTGTTTGTCATATGTATGCCTTCATTTGAGAAATGTCTATTCAAATCTTTTGCCCAAAAAAATGAGATTGAAAATGTAAATTTTAAACTGATCAGGTAAGAGTCAATTCTACAAGCTGAGCCCAGACCAGACTAGACTAGTTATTATCCATGTTGTTACGCATATGTCTAAAATAATTCTAGCTCTGATTTTCTAAGCACCTAGTGTACGAAGCAATGCTAAATATTACTTGTGTTTGTTAGACAGTAATGCAAGACTGTGTCCCTGCATAATCTGCTGCTCTTTATGCAATTTTTACCCCAAATGACTCTTTGTGTCGTTTTCACACTGTGAAAGAGCATGTGTGCGTGTTAAACATGTGACTGCCATCATGCTGACTCACATAAACTTCCAGAGGTAAGGAGAGAACCCAGGAAAAGCACAAAAGCAATGGTCACGAACGACAAGGACACAGTCCTAAAGAAATCCTTTGCCTTCAGTACTCAACTGAGTGTTTGGGTGGTGGGAGCTGAACATTTTCCAACCAGTGATAGAGGACTTGCAGGTTCGGGCTGGCCACACCCTCTTCTGGCTGCTCGCAGCTGCAGGAAGACTCAGGTTGGTCAGACGAGGTACCTGTGTGGTACCAAATGAGCGCATCCAGTATGCCCGTGACTATGGACAACTCAAACATCTTGAGACATTAAGCTGTCGTTCTGACTCTAAATATTTTCAGAAAGGCCTCCTTTACGTCCTTGTTCCTGAGGCTGTAGATGATGGGATTGAGGAAGGCAGAGACCACATTGTAGAACAGCGCTAGCTTCTTGTCCCGCTCTGGGTCATACCAAGAACCGGGCCTCATGTACATGATGATGGCCGGCCCATAGAACATGGTGACCACAGTGACGTGGGAAGCACACGTGGAGAAGGACTTGAGCCTCCCCTGCGCTGAGCGGATTCTGAAGATAGAGGCAAGGATGAAGACGTAAGAGGCCAGGATGAGGGAGAGTGGGACTAAAAGCAGGATGAAACCCAAGATGAAGTCCAGCCTGTCATTAAAAGATGTATCTGCACAGGCCAACTTCAGGACAGCAGGGACCTCACAGAAGAAATGGTTTATCTTGTAGGGGCCACAATAAGGCAGATGCATGGTGAAGACAGTGTAGATCAGGGCCCCAGCTATGCTAATGGACCAACAAACTATAATCATCGTGACACAAATGGAATGGCTCATGAGTAGCATATAGCGAAGGGGGAAGCAAATGGCAACGTACCTGTCATAGGCCATAATGGCATAGAGGACACACTCAGCAATGCCCAGGACCAAGAAGATGAACATCTGGGCTGCACAAGCTCCCCAGGAGATGCTCCTCCGCGGACACACCATATTAACCAACATCTGGGGCACAGTGGTAGTGACATAGCTCATGTCCACCAGAGAGAGGACGCTGAGAAAAAGGTACATGGGCGTGTGGAGGTGTGAGTCCAGGTAGATAAGCATGACGATGAGTCCGTTGCCCACAAGGGTGGTGAGGTAGAGGAGCAGGAAGAGGGCAAACAGGGCCATTCCGACCTGTGTCTCACTGGAGAAGCCGAGGAGGATGAACTTGGACACAGAGCTGCGGTTTTCCTTGCTGAGGCTCTGCATGGTGATCTGCCTTTTAAGGACAGACAAAGACTTCCCTGTTCTGTCCCTGCCCTTGGCAAAGGAGGGCTGGGATTGACAGAAGGTGAGCTGCACACAGCAGCATGCACAGTAGCTTGCACAGATTAGGTCAAACCTTTATTGAGTTGGATGAAAAGGACAAGGAGGCCACGGCAGCTGTGGCACTGGGTAACACATCAGCTCTCGATTCATGGCTGTAATGCAGGGAAGGATGCCCAACTGCCCACAGGGCCTTCTCTGGGAACCACCCACATCATAGAAAACAAGGCATTAGGTAGCCATGTTTGTAGCCAGTAACCCAGCCACTCCTGAGTTCTACCATGGGTGCGCATGTGCCCCAGCCTGGACTGAGTAGATGCCTCTGCTGAAAATCTAATTATGACCTGTGGGGGCGTAGGGTTCTGTCACCCCAGAGCTAGTGTGCTGGCAACCTAAGGTCACAGGGCGGCTGAGGTGATGGAGGAGAAGGAAATGAAGGTCCTCCAGAGATGAAAAAAGATGTGCTGGGATGCAGGGGGGAGAGACCTCACAGCCCTGAGCACCAGAGACAGGGACCCTGGTTCCAGGCCTGCTATTCCCACTTTCCCTGAGGCCTGTCTGGGGCTTTGTGTCTTGTACTTAGATAGAAATGGGATTTTATGTTGAATCCTTACAACGGCCACCTTGTGACCACATTTTCAACTCAGCTGTTCCTGAGTGTCCACGGTTGTCACTCACCCAGCTGCTTGACCATGTGCAAGTCTCTTCACCTCCATCGGCCTCAGTTTCCCCATCTGTTACATAGAGAGGGAACATCTAGGCACAGGGTTATGGCAAGGAAACTATGAGAGATACTGTATGTCAAGACATTTTGCAAAATATAAATCACTAGGCAAATAAAAGGGCTTAGTGTAAGTGAATGAGCCTGTAAGTGAAATCAGAAGAACTCGGGGCTAGTCCTGCCTCTGCCTCTGATTTTCCTCGTGATCTTGGCTAACTCCACATCCCTCTCTGAGCTTGAGAGCCCCATTTTAAAAAGGAAGCTGTTGGATTCCAGAGCGTCCACCCAGCTCTGATGATCTTTGATACTGGGAACCCCAGGCTAGAGACCCATGGTCACATCAGTGCCTGAGCAGCAAGGGTGGGCTGAGCTGAGCAGGACTGTGTTGGCAGGAGATTCACTGTAGGAGCTAGAGATGTGTCCAGAGCATTGGAGAGCACCTAGAGCATAGTCTCAGCCATCAGCACTCTGGAGTCTAGTGGCCTCTTCTCCTATTTCCAAGTCGCACAGCCTCTCATTTAGCCTCCTCATCTACTCCCAAGTCACTTAGCCTCCCATGTTCTTCGTGTGTAAAATGGGGTAATACCTCCTCCACAGTGAAGACTGCATGAAATATACCAGGTTTGTAGAACATGCTTAACAAATGGAAGCAATTTAGATCCTAGGAAGCTGGGTGGAAGGAGGAGTGGAGAGAGGAGAGAGTAGGTACAGTAGTTTTCTCAAGCGTCTGAGCTTCCAGAGGACAGGGCTGAAAACATGGTCATTAGGGCTGAAAGCCACGAATGACAGTGGGGGTGAGGAAGCTGGAGAAACTGACTGAGGCTGAATGGGTGAAAGAAGACAGTGTCAGATGTGTGTTCTGTGCTTTAAGGAACACCAGTAATTGGATGAAAGAGAAAAACGTCCCAGATAAGGAATCTTTGTGAAGGTACGAGGAGACCTAGGGCAGCTCAGGGTCCTGGATACTAAGAGGGAAAACTTTTCAAGAGATAAGGACTGGTCAGCAATAAGGATGGCAAACACTGACACCAGGATGGTGAGCGCTGAGAATGAGGAGGGACCCACATCCTCCTCTCCCCAATCCACACCCCAGACCTGGACTCATGCAGAGGCCTCCTACGGGCCACCCTTCATCACCTCCACCAGCAGATATTGTGTCAGCTACCATGCCCTTCTCACATCTCCTTAGACTGGAACTCAAGTCCCTTTCCAGTCTGGTGCTAACAAGTTTTCAAGTCTGTGTGACTCTCCATGTATCTCTGTGAGGATCCAAAGGGATCCTCATCTGGGCAGCTGGGATCCCCCATCTCGGAGCCACAGATCCTCCATGCTAGCTGGCTTCCTCGTGCCTGCCATGTGTGCCACCACGTTTTGCTCTAGCTGTTCCACTGCTGGGAAAGCCTTTTTTAATCCTTTCTGCTTCCACAGCTCTCACCCTTCCAGGTCCAGCTTGGGTTTGCCTCATCCTTACCTGACCAGTCCAGCCTCGTTTATTTTATGTGCATATTCTCTTCCCCGCCTGGCTGAGGGCAGAGGCCACATGTCTTTTATATCTCTCCATGGTATTAGTTTTTAGCATCTGGCAGATCCAGGCGTCCTCTTTGTATCAGAATGGGGTTGGAGAGATTTCTAGCCCCTGAAAAGCCTGGGGATTCCCTGTCTATGTGATAAATGCAGCACAGAGCCCCTCAGCTGGATGCAATAAACAGCCAGAAAGTTTTGTGCTCCCAGGACATTTCCAGCTTGGAGCTGGTGAGCTGGGTTTCTTTCTGAAGTTTCCTCTGGGTACTGAAACTGTTTCCCACTGAGACTTAGAGGAGGGAGGGATCCTGTGGTTGAGTGGCCACATCCCCGTGTGACACGGTGATAGCACTATCATAATAAGATGTGCTTTGTTTCCTCCCAAACATTTTTCTGTGCCTTTTACACCCTCAGGCATCTTTCCCAAGGCCACACACCCAACAGAGACAAAACTAAGGCTTGGCTACAGATAGAGTAGTCCCCCCATCCATGGGGGATATGTTCCCAGACCCCCGGCAGACGTCTGAAACTGCAGATAGCAAAAAACTCTATATATACCAGGCTTTTTCCTACACACACATACCTATGATGAAGTTTACTTTCTAAATTAGGCATAGTAAGAGATTAACAGCACCGAATAATAATAGAATAATCATAACAATACACTGTAGTAAAAGTTCCATGAATGTGGTCTCCCTCTACATATCCTGCTGTACTGTACTCAGCTGCTTGTGATGATGTGAGATGATAAAGTGCCTGTGTGATGGGAGGAAATGAGGTGAGTGACGTAGACGTCACAGCATAGCTTTAGGTGCTACTGACCTTGAGTATAAGCACAGCGATAGCACCACAGTCGATCTGTAACCAAGATGGCTACTGAGTGACTAACAGCCAGGTAGTGTAGACAGTGCAGATACATTGGACAAAGGATGATTTGTGTCCTGGGTGGGACAGAGCAGGACAGCATGAGATTTCCTGCTGAAATGAAATCTCAGAATGGTGTGCGATTGAAAACTTATGAATTATTTACTTCTGAAATTTTCCATTTAATATTTTTGGCCCTGGTTGGCTGCAGGTTAGTGAAACCCCTTGTAAGTAGGACTATTGTTATATAAATGCTACTCATACTTACTCGTGTCCCTGTAACTACCATTTATTCTGGTTATTCACCCTTTGTAAGATGGACAGATTGCAAAAATTTTCCTTCATTCTGTAGGTTGCCTGTTGATGTGATGATAGATTCTTTTGCTGCGCAGAAGCTCTTTAGTTTAGTTAGATCCCTTTGTCAATTTTGGCTTTTGTTGCCATTGCTTTTGGGGTTTTAGTCCTGCAGTCTTTGTCCATGCCTACATCCTGAATGGTATTACCTGGGTTTTCTTCTAAGGTTTTCATGATTTTAGGTCTTATGTTTAAGTCTTTAATCCATCTTGAGTTAATTTTTGTTTAAGGCGTAAGGAATGGGTCCAGTTTCAGTTTTCTGCATATGGCTAGCCAGTTTTCCCGACACCATTTATTAAATCGGGAATCCTTTTCCCATTGTTTGTTTTTGTCAGGTTTGTCAAAGATTGGATGGTTGTGTATGTGTGGTGTTATTTCTGAGGCCTCTGCTCTGTTCTATTGTCTGTGCATCTGTTTTGGTACCAGTACCATGCTTTTTTGGGTTATTCTAGTCTTGTGGTATAGTTTGAAATCAGGTAGCATGAGGCCCCCAGCTTTTTTTCTGCCTTTAGAGTTGTGTTGGCTATATGGATTCTTTTTTGGTTCCATATGAAATTTATAGTAGTTTTTCTAATTCAGTGAAGGAAGTCAGTGGTAGCTCGATGGGGATAGCATTGAATCTATAAATTACTTTGGACAGTGTGGCCATTTTCACAATACTGATTCTTCCTATCCAATTGTTTGTGTCCTCTCTTATTTCCTTGAGCAGTGATTTGTAGTTTTTTTGAAGAGGTCCTTCAATCCCTTGTAAGTTTTATTCCTAGGTATTTTATTCTCTTTGCAACAATTGTGAATGGGAGTTCATTCATGATTTTGCTCTGTTTGTCTATTATTGGTGTAGAGAAATGCTTGTGATTTTTGTACATTGATTTTGTATGCTGAGACTTTGCTGGAGTTGCTTATCAGATTAAAAAGATTTTGGGCTGGGCTGAGATTACGGGTTTTCTAAAATGATTATGTCATCTGCAAACAGACAAGTTAATTTCCTCTCCTCCTATTTGTTCTTTTTGCTTGGGCTTGTCTTGGCCATAAAGGCTCTTTTTTGGTTCCATATGAAATTTAAAGTAGTTTTTTTTTTTTTAATTCTGTGAAGAAAGTCAGTGGTAGTTTGATGGGGATAGCGTTGATTCTATAAATTACTTTGGGCAGTATGGCCATTTTCACAATATTGATTCTTCCTATCCATGAGCATCGAAGATTTTTCCATCTATTTGTGTCCTCTCTTATTTTCTTGAGCAGTGGTTTGTAGTTCTCCTTGAAGAGGTCCTTCACATCCCTTGTAAATTGTATTCCTAGGTATTTTATTCTCTTTGTAGCAATTGTGAATGGCAGTTCATTCTTGATTTGGCTCTCTTTAAATCTATTATTGGTATATAAGAATGCTTGTGATTTTTGGACATTGATTTTGTATCCTGAGACTTGGCTGAAGTTGCTTATCAGCTTAAGGAGTTTTGGGGCTGAGATGATGGGGTCTTCTAAATGC